GCCAATAAACGTCTTCTTTCAACTTTATATGCTTCTAATAATATTCCTTTTACTCTTTCCCATATTTTTCAATCTTCTGTTTTGCAAAATAAAGTTCTAGAACACATGGAAACCCATTTCTGATAGTTAACATTAAGAAGGTATTATATATTTTTGTTTGGACTTTATTATTTTTATTATATTTACGCTAAATTTAGAAGTACCTAATTGAGTAATATTCCCAGAAACGTAGTCAGTGGTAAGTGGTAGCTCGTGGATAAAATAATTGATGGTTCACATTTAAAAAATTGTATACAATAAGTACAGTTGATTTAAAGAACAGGAACTAAAACAAATATTTTATTAAAATATGAATATATTTGTATTTTTTTTATATATGAGGTTCTTTGATATAAATCTATAATATATTAAGGAATTAATAAGTTTGTTTTTGTTATATTACATTACATTAAATATTGTTTAGAAATTGAATGTAAATCGGATCGGTCAGTATTTTCTATAGGGTATTTTTGGAGATAACACTTCTTGCTTGACAAATTTAATATTATCCAAAAGAAATAATTAGTTCCCCCAATGTATTCTCATTTCTACGTTAGCAGCGGTAAATGGCTGTACGGCCGCGGCGGTGCAATATTAATTTGTACACCAACACACCACTACAGCCGATGTCCCACTTGACTGGTATACTTGGCCGATCTTTTACTGGCGACAATGTGCCAGTCGTATGGACGCCTTTACAAGCATAATTGTTGGTCCCTATCTGATACCCATGGATTGTCGGTAAACCTCACTCAAGTTAGGCATGATGACTGGCGTTTAACTGGCCGTGCGAGTAATCTGTATACAAGTTATATAATCATGGTGTAGGACATGTTATTTGAGTTGATGAACATATTGACTAGTCAACTATACAACCCGTGTGAGAGAATATACAATTACCATAATAAGCCTATATCAGTGCTGGGCAATATGAATGACAATTAATACTTGTAAGTATACAAAATTCATATAGGAGCTAATTACAATGTTAGTCATATATCGTATCACCAGTGACAAATATTTGCCAAGTTCATCAGTCGTGTAAGACCGGCTTAAGACTGATAGTTGTGTCAGTAGTGGGGCCGAAACGGTCAAATGCGCATGCGCAACTGGTGCAAAAATGGTATTTGCTCGTCCATACTCCGTGGCCGCTGCCGCTACGAATTGTGTACGATGGCATACCTTAAACGTTCGACAACATACTTTTTCTCGACTTTTCGCGTTAAATATTTCTTTAAATAATTAATAATATATTTTTATATTGTAGCAATAAAAAAAAACAATGTAACTAGAGTTTTCAAAATTGTAGGTGGTGTACTACTCCTGTGTACCATAGCACGAGACGCCGTGACGTGCGTACAGACACAGTCTTTGAATTTAGTAATCTGTAAATAATGCCTTTTTGTATTTTAAAATTTAAAATGAATAGTAATCAATCTATGATTTTTACCAAAAAGGAAGAACTAAAATTGTTATAAACGATATGTGATGGTCAAGGACAGAATTCGTGAAAACAGTTTATTGGTAGGATTTTAACCTTGTCGGGATAACCTCCCGATTACCCTCCCCATCAGGGCCTATATTTATATTAAAAAATAAAAACCCACGTTATATGCAAATTGTATCATAAGTATTCCAAAAAAAAATATATATATTACAAATTACTACAGTAAGTACCAATAAGATTATAGTAAAAAAAGACTGACATATTTCGCACGATCAATGGGCCACTGATGTAGGTGAGAAGTTGGGAATGTTACACATAGAGGGGAATTTAATGAATATCTGTATGCAACAATTAATTATTACTAAAACCGATAAAAACGCAGAGGTCTGTTATACATGCCTTAAAAGACCGTAATATTTAAGATTTTCGTCAAAAATTAAAATTGTTATTAAAAAAAACTTCATTAAACTTACCTTTTTTTTGTCGACCACTAAGCACAACCTATAATGAACCTCCTATTAAATGTTTAATCATTTCTGTTTGTCCTAACAATTTTATCCTCAGTGTACCTACCGAATATAAATTACGTAAAAACTCATAAAATTAAAATATCTATAAATGGCTCAAATGTGAAAATTTTACCGCGCCTAGAAAAAGCAAATATTTTTTTTGAACGAATTTTGAAGTTTTTATAAATACTTTAAACTGAATTACATTAAAAAAACAAAATTTAAAACAGTAAAAGAATATTATTTTAACCAGTTTTCCTGTTCTGTCTACGTATTTTTCGGAATACTCAATTATTTAAAAAAATAAAAAAAAACAATTTTCTTACTCATCCATTAGATTAAAAATACAACAAAAAATGTTTCGTTTAGTTTTTCTATATCTAAATATTAAAGCATTATATATGGTAAAAAATATAATCCATAAAAATGTTAAATATTGATATCGTTGCACCGTGATTTGAAAAAAATCGTATCTTTAGTCTTTTTTCGATTTCCCAGTTATTATGAAAAATACTTTAGTTATCAATAAACGATTTTACTTTATCAGTGGCTATATATTAAAAGGAACAAAATCGTTATCTTGTCAGTTTTCGATTAGAATAATATTAATGACAAAAAAAATTGTATATACGATATATCTTCAACTCATTTAAGATAATGAAATCAGTAACAACGTGATACGTAAATGTTTACCATTTCATCTTCAATTTTCTTTTGGGATTTTTCCCAATTATTTTAAAAACCCTTGAAAAACCAAAAAGTGACCTTGACAATGTAAAAAATCCAAAAAACCTCTTTCAGAATCGATGTAAAAAAACGTCTTTTCAAAAAATAATATATTTTTTTTAATCGTAAGAGATCTACATAATATATTTATTATTTGTTAACTTTAACAGTACAACTTGCGAGTTATCAGTAATTATTATGACGTGTTAAAAATTATTTTAACGTAATATAATATTTTATATTACAACTTTTATATTACGTATTATAACTGAACATTGTTTTTATTAAATTATACAATTATGGAAGAAACCTTTTTTTGTTTTTTTTTCCGTTACCGTGCGGTATGCCTTGTTAATCTCGTTCAAAATAGAATGATAGAAGCAATTTAAGATGACACCGGAAAGGATATTTTTTATACACGTGTGCGTACAATCTGGTATTTTTAGATAAAATAATCACATTTTGAAACGTAAAATGAATACAAGTCATATAATAATATTTTAAACGATGTTCTGATCTGACAAATCTGGTGTTGACATTACGTATTATTTTCCATGTAACAGTGTAATAACGTGCAGTACGACGTATACAAGACGTACCCTCCAAGCATTGCTGGCGACGGGAAAGTGTTAAAACAAGTCAATGGGAGAGAACGTAGTAATATATTATTTTTACTGTTGCTTCATCATAGGCTACCGGCAGCAGCAGCAGCTGTTTAGGGCTCAGTCTGTTCCGTTCAGCCGTGCGAGTATGTCTTTTATTATTAAACGTATAATTTGTGTATATAATATTATACATACTTACAGGTAATTGCCGTAAATCGTTATCATATTTTCATATATTTATTTTTTTATTTACATTTTAAAATGTTTGTCGTAACGAAATAATAATAGGTAAGTTGAATTATTATTATTTAAAATATAATGTATTAAAAATTGGAAAATATTTTTTGTGTTTTCAAATTGCGAAAAAAAAATACTATAAAACCTAAAAGTATACATAGGCAGACATGCGTATCGGGGGAAAGTGTTTAGGGGTTTACCCCTCCCTCCATTATAAAGATTAAAATAGGTAGCTATCTATCTAAATACAATTAAAAACATAAGTTTTATATTATATTGTATTCGGTTTAAATTATATTATTTACCTACCTATCATCAGGTACTAATTTTAGTTTAATTATAGAATTTGAATTTATTATTGAGAAATATTGCGTCATAGGTATCTATGCCTATAGTTTATATGTATAAATATAGTCACATTCAATATCATTATTACTGTAGGATTTAAGTGCCTAAATGTTAAATTATTGAACAGGTACAACAGAAACTTAGAACCACTATATTCTTCACATTGGTATAGCAAATTTAAAATTATGAAATTCTATGTCATATAACACAATATGATTTATTTGTGCCTTTAAAAAACAAAAACACATTAATTTAGATCAATATCTTTGAAAAATACAACAATGACAGAATGTCTTTAAATATAGCTTATAAATTGTAGGTATATACCTACTTACCTATTGATGATATCATTTCAATAATTATTTAGGTTTATAATATTTCTCTAAATGGGTATATTTAACTAGGTTATATCAATTTTACTATAGATAGGTGCAAGTATATAGTTGGGTATAGTTACCCGTGTAAATAAATACATTTTACTTATAATGATGAATTATGATTTCAGCAGTATTTATGCTTTTCAAAAATATATTTATTTGAACAATTGGTACCTAGCTATTACAATTTTAAACTCAATAAGATAAAGATGAAATCATGAATTATCTAAATATTGAATGCACATATAAAACAAATCTAAATTATTACAGTTAGATAGTTAGATTAATCAGGGGTTTTTATGCTTGGATACCTTCCTATCTTTTTTTTACTTTTCAAGTGACTTTTAATATCCACATATTTGTACGTAGGTACTATCTTTAATCACTATCAAATAGCTAATATAGCCATATAGGAACTTTACTCTGAATAATTACTAGGTTATAACATAATTTTTTTTAATAATTTAGACTGATATTATTTCAGTAGGTACCAGCTCACGTGATAATAAATATTATTCCAATATATTCATATTACTTATGCATCCCATTTGTGATAATGTGAAATAAAGAAATTGTCTTTCTAAATAATAAAAGTTTAATAATCATTCATCAATTAATTAATATGTAATAAATACTATAGGTACCTACTATACACCTAGAATAGTTTTGTATTACATTTTTAAATAATATTCAAAAATATTGGATATTGTAAACAAAAAATATTGTAATTAACTTTTCAACTTTCAGATCATAGTAAAACGTTAAACCAATAAATCATTCGTTACACTCTGAATTTAAAATAATAACCTTGCTACTCACAAGCATTCTAACAGCATTATGTAAGGGCGCATACTAGTTCCCTCTTGAGATCAAAAAAGTCGATAATTTTAATACAAATTGCCTCCTGAGTAATATTATATTAAATTCAGTTTAGTTTATGAATCACTGTTTTATTCAATATGGGAGGCAACTGGCGCGAACATTCTTGGGAGGCGACTTGTATATAATTATAAACTACCTGATCGTCGGAGGTAACTAGTGTATATCAATCTTTTTATTTACGATAACCATGGAAGGCAATTCTTATATTTTAGAAGGCGACTCCTATGCACCGTCATGTAAGGAGTAAGTTGTTCAGTTCAGTTTAGTCGCATTCCGACTGTGATGGATCTATCAAGGTTTTGATTTTGAATTAAATCCGTACTTTTCTTTCAGTTATACTTTTTTGCTGTAGTCCATGTAGTTCTCAAAATCCATATTTTGGCGACCCTCTTCAGTCAGTTCTGCTATGTTCGAGGTATGATAGACTGATCAGAATGAATCCAGTCTTCTCGTTATAATGGTTGACGCGATAGTGCTATCCAATACAGTTTAAATTTTACCTATTGGAAATTTTATTAGTAGAGTTAATATTTATACCATTATAGTTTTATTACCCAACTCATAAGACAATATCATCGAACATTATATAATAGGTACCGAATTAAGAGACATTTGGATACTTTGTTAGTTATATATAAATTACCTCAATGCAGATATTGTTACGTTTTGGATCATTTAGTAAAATATATTACACTGTAATGTGTATCTATATTGTAATAGAATCATCTTTTACAAATAGTTTATTGATAATTAGTAAAACTCGGTACTTATTATTTTTAAAATTTAAAAAAAAAACCGCTTAATCACATAAAAAAAAGTATTTCAATCAAATGGTAGAGGGTTAAAAAATACCTTATCTAATCAGTCTAACTAATTAAATACAATTTTCTAACATGGCAAAAATGGTTAGCAAAAAGCAATTTTGTTTAAATAAAATTATAAGTTGGTATTATAAAAAAATAACTGAGTTAATAATTTGTGTAGGGTTATAAAATTGTATTTATAGTAAGTTAGAGCCGTTAGAGGAGAGACATTTAACCCTTTTGCAGTTTTTGTTTTTTTTTTTTTTTAATTGCTTTTTTTCAAAAACTTTTTGACGTTTTTAAGAGCTTTTTTGTGGATTTTAAGTGGAATAAGCCCGAGCCCTAGTAATTAATAAATAATCTATAGGTCTTTAATAATCAAAACGATCATTAAAGGAACACTTTTTTTTTAAATACCAATCATAAAACATTACCAGTATTATAATATAATATTATGTGTCCGGTGAATCGAATGGTCTTTCAATTGGTACAATACGATTATATAGATCGTCAATATATAAGGTTAGGTAATGTATAGCCTATACAGGATGGATACCTAGATAGGTATCTACAATAAAATATGTATAAAGTCACGTTTTTGATCATATCATATCATTAGGAGTTTTATTCATCGCCGTTACATTCCATATTTTAAACATAGATATTATGTACTCGTATGTCTATAATATGCCTACTATAATACATCAATGTTCTCACAAAAAAATATGATGCGTAGTTTTATTACTGTAATATTATATAGTGGTACATGATATGTGAGCTACTTAAGACCAAACGGTCCGAACCGAATTATCAAGGTCTCTATTATTTTCTCCGAATCGTATTCTGACTGTCCAATTTCACTATTGTTATTTAAAATCATAAAATACATTTATAGGTTTATATCGAGACAGCTCTACAACATTACTATAGGATATTAAATTGTATGAATATATTATTGTATTCATTTATGTTTTCCAAATAATGTAGTCAAATCTTATATTAATGATAAAAATTACAATAATTCATATTGATTATTCATAATTATTAAGATTATTACCTATTTTATTTTAGTATATCTGTATTAAAGTTGCTATAGTTAATTTTTATAACGTACAATATATGCATCTATTAATTATGTTGATAAGAAAAAAAAATTGCGATTTAAAATAGATAGGTGTTATAACTACATTATTTAAGATTTGAAACGGAGCGAGGAATGTATTGATTTTATGATTTTTATTTCTCCTTTTTTTTTTGAATGCGAGGCATATATTTTTTTTCAACTTATATATATACTTAACTACTGTGTATAAAATGTCTACCAAAAATCTTGTTATGATATATCAAGTGTGGCACATTTTTTGAAAGAAAATTTTATCTAGTTAGTACTTTAGGAAGATCATTTACAAACATCTATAAATGGTAGAACCGTTTTCGGCCAAAACGAACCTTTCCCTTATCGGGCAGTATTACTTTTCGGCCATTCTACAATAACCATTTTCAGCCAGTACATTATTTTAGTCACCAATGTAAGTTTTTTAATTTAAAAAAACCAAATTACCTATGCATACAATTTTAATTATGTTTCTTTTTTTTTTGATATCCATGATATTTACAATAATTAAGAAAAATATATGATATAAATTTAAAATAAAACAAAATTATTGGATTTAAAACATTATTGGATCTACTTATTACGTTTGTATTGCATGATTGAAATAAATTAAATATTTTTCAACCATCATATTCTGATGACTAGTAAACATTTTTTTATGAATCGTTAATATAATTTTATTTTATTTTTTCATTGAAAATTATGAAGGTACAATTTTAAACTTTTTTTTTCATTATTTCATACCTTTATCAAATCGTAATTTTAAAATACTAAATAGTTGTCTATATAAATGCAAAGGAGGCAATCGCTCCTATCGTCCCTGTAATCTTACATTGGTGACCAAAATAATGTACTGGTCGAAAAGGATCCCGCCCCATTTTTTGATTTTCCAAACGAATTTTGTTATAGTTGAGATAAAACGTAGAGATGAACGGACATATATTTACGACGTACCTAACGATTTTACAATTTTTGTTGCGATTTTGATCTAGTTGCTCACGAAGAAAGATGTTACCAGAAATATTGTGCCAATAGAAAAACATGAGACCTTTCATATTTCATGTTTAATGTAATTGATGAGTAGGAAAGCCGTTTTTAGATTTTTGAATATTTCATATAGTTTTTTAAATGATTGAGAAAAACCGAAAAAACTTAAATAAAAACGGGAAAATTTATGAAAATAATAATTATTTTTAATTATTTTTTTTTATAATTCAGTTGAAAATATTTGTAAAGATTTGAAATGTAAAACTTATACTTGCCTTTTTTAGACGTGATAAAATTTTCAAAACAGCATTTGATCCATTTTTGTGCTACATTATAAACATTTTAATTTTGAGTTTTTACCTAGATCGTTTTTGTTCGGTAGGCATTTTGTGGCTGTGATATACCTAATGATGAACTTTTAATTCGAAACCAGTCATATAATACACTTATCATAATACTCCAGGCGACACATTTATTCATTTATTTATTTATTATATCTAATTAATTAATATATTTTTATCATGTCCTAAGTATTTATTTCTCATGATTTACTGAATGGCACTTAAAATTTCAAAGTCTGTCTGTTTTTCTACACTTGCATTTACATAGGTACTTAAATGTATGTTTTAAAAAATTCTGTACAAGTGCATTGATCGTACATTTGCCCTCCTAAATTAAGGAAGGTATGGACTGATTCCCGCAGTGAAATTGAAATATCCGGTATTATGTCGTCAATCTGTACACATTTTTCTTTTATAATCGTACATTGGCGTTGAATTAATACTGCACACGTAGGAACTACGAAGTGTCTTGTAAACATAGACTTCTACATCTAGACGGAACATTCAGCATGAACATGATCCGATAGGTGGAGTTTCATTTCAAAGATAAACACATCACGTTAGATAATAATCGGAGTGTTTTATTAATTGTCTGAGCTCAGAGTGCAAATTTGCTCTTTTACACTGGACATTTTATATCAGCATATATTTGTTGATCCGTTAGGACCGACTACGCTTCCCGGTGCTCGGGGAATGTTCTGTTTACATTTATAAATCTATGCTTATAAAGCACGAAAACTTTACTAATTAATCAGAAATATCTGTTGACTAACTAATTTTATCAACATAGCTATCATACTATTAACGTCCGATATAGCTAGATAACGGATATATCAGAAATAAAAATTTGATTTAAAAATAATACGGAGATAATACAAGTTTAAACGATGTGTTTAAAAACAAAAATACTTTGTATATAATAATAACTTTTATTAGATTTATTATAATTTTTCTAAAATATTCATAATTTATAACAAATAGGTAATAAATAAAAATTGCTTAATTAACTTGTTTATATATTCGTGGTTCAAAATGCCGGGCAATGTGCACATTTCACGGGATTTCACATTGCCCGTGTAATATAGGTATATTATATAAGTAATAGTTTTCATTTAAGTGTTCATAAAAATAGATTCAAGTTAAATATAATGTTTTTTTTTAAGTATCTTACTAATATCTGTACTTATAATGGTAACAAGTATAAATTTATTGTAACCTACATGAATAACCTTGTATTATTAAAAATAGCCTAATTATAATATAAAATAGGCTAAAACCACAAAATAAGTCGTTAAAAAAAATCTTAAAGTAATCAATACGAAAAACTACCTAACCTACCTAAACACTCGAAAACGTATAAAATTACCTACACGTGTAGGATACCTATCTACCTAACTAATTAATATATTAACTATGTACAATATACTTACACTATCTACAATAAATTGTTAATATATTTGTTTGAACTTAAATGCAGGTATACATTATAGTAATATTTAGAAACAAAATTATTATAAAATAGATAATGGTTATTATTTTGAAATTATTGCTGCAGGAGTATATAGATACTCAAGGCGAACAACAATTCTATGTAGCTGGTATTTTTTTTTTAAGTGGGTGAGATAAAAAACATTTATAGTATTATTCAGATTATTGAAATGCATACACATTTAATAACTTACTACTTAGTATACATGAACGGATACAATTCCGTCATATGACTATTAGAGTTACGGGTTACCCACCGATTATTTTTGTAGAAATCTGTTTAAATGAGAATATTTTATGACTAGACTATAACACAGATTTGATCAATCAGATTTTATACCTATAAGTATTATTAATATAGGTACCTAAAAGCTTTGTAGCTCTGTGCCTCTGTGTATTAAAAATTATGGTGAAATTTTACAAAATCATGTGAATATTTTACAATATCACTCAATATTATCACATTTATTAATTTATACGAATAAAGAGAAATAGGTTTATTGTATATAGGTACTTATTATATTATTTCATATTTATATAACCGTATATTTGACATCTCATATTTACATATTAGGTACCTACATAAATAGAAAAAAAAACCAGCTATATGTGCGTGACATACACGAATGTACTTAGGGTTCCACATAGTATGTAGTGTACCAACTACTTTGTAAAAAGATATTGTTTCGTAATTTTCTTTCTTTTTTCTCTGTTTTAATTAATAAGTAATATATATATTTTTTAAATTATTTTCATTGAAATTATTTATAAAGTGCTACTTTTTTAAAATTTTTAGAATTTTTAATCAGATGGTTAGGATACCTAACCATGTTGAGGTATATTATTATCTACTTCAGAAGTTTCTACGCTATAAAATATTTATCTTTACAATAGATTTCACTTACAAACTATTATTGCATTTTGAGAGACCTTTCCAAGTATACCACATGATAAGGTGCACGAAAAATAAATTAGTAATCCCTCAGATGTAGGTAGGTATACACAACTATCTCTTAATTGTATTTTTAACTTTTTAACCATACAAATCTAAGATGATTTACATAAAACACCTTTAGAAGAGGAATAGCAGAGTTATATAAGTATGTGAAATATGGATGATGATGAACAAAATTATAGATAACAAGGGTTCCGTTTTTGCCATTTTGGCTACAGATGTATAGAACCCTAAAAATAATACTCATTTTGTAGTATATGTTAATGATTTATCGGGATGGTTCCTAATTATAGAGTAATACAATTAATGCTGATCGATACTGTTTTGTTTTCTCGCGTGTCGTGTTGAATTTAAACTTATAGAAGTACTGTGAATATATAGATTTTTTTCTATGCATACCAGTACACCCATGTAATAAAATAAGCATTGAATTTGAGTATTTACATGCACACCTTCCTACTTATCTATAATTGTAATTTGTAATGTTTTAAATTTATTCTTCTACGATTAAACTATAATAGATTAATCTGTATGTGTATATATTTAATTAACACATACCACTAGAAACATAAAACTTGCGTGTCATTCCGACCTATACTTTGATGTACAGACTTAAACTAAACTATTTAGAAAATTTCCTTACATATGATGTATATACCTATAAAGATAAAGAATGATTTACGAATTTGGATATAATGTCGTTGCCAGTAACATCATGTGTTTTTGACATCGTAGGAAATAAAAGTATAATGCTAAAAAAAATTATATTTTTCAAAAACGGTTCAGACTATTTGTTTATATAATAATATTACATAATATATGTCTGAATGTGACTACCTATAGTATACGGTTTATTTAACCCTAAGGGCACATGACATTATCTTTTCAGTGTGTAGATGACAGTCGGTATTGAATTGAGCAAACATTCGTTAAATACGTTTCACAAAAGGTATTTAAAATAGAAAGTAACAGATATTTTTGTAGAGATGTTATACTAAACAAGTATTAAATTAAATTACAATATTATGAAATGTAATACAATTTTGGTATTATTAGATGCTTTTGAAAAATACGTAAAATGGAAGCTAATAAATGTGCAGTGTCAAGATTCCTTTATTTTAAATTTGTACGGTTTATATTTTCTACCAGAAATATTGCTATAATAAAAAACCGACAAAAGATGTTTTTTGTTGTATTTTTAATCTAGTTGGTGAGTAAGAAGGTTGTTTTTTTAGTTTTCTCTGTATTTTTTTAAATAATTGAGCCAAACCGAAAAACACATGAAACGGGAAAATTCACGAAAATAATAATTATATTTAATTTTGTTTTTTTTTTCCTAGCAATTCAGTTAAAAATATTTATAGAGATTTGAAATTTGGACAGAAATTTCATATTTGCATTTTCTAGAAGTGGTCGAATGTTTAAACTATTTATAGAAATTGTTATTTACATTTGATACACGGTTGATTTACATTGTCGTAATATTTTATATTTTATACATGTTATAGTTATTTGCATAAATAAAAAATCCATTGTTTACTGTTATACAGAAAAATTATAAATTCAAAACGAAGCGAGAGTTTTTTATTAGTTTATACGACGCACTTTTAAGTGCAGCGGCAAAAAACACTCACAAACCATACCTATCTAACTGAATTCAAATTGTGTGCTCTTAAATGTCGAAAAATTGGAAAAAAGTATGTGCATTTAAATTTGAAAACGTTTTACAGTTTTGCTAGAAATCATTTTTTGAATGTGATAATATTATCATTGCATTAAAATTAAAAATAATACAAGACCAGTTATGATATATTATATACTGATTAAACAAAGTGATATGATTATGTATATCAGTGGTGTATTTAGGAATTTGCCTTAGGGGTTTTTCAAACACATTTAAGAGCGAGGCTTCGCTCCCAAACTCCCCGAATTAATACTGAAATAGGAATTCAATTTGTTACAATGTATTTTTAAAAAAAACCCGTTTTGATGTTAATAATTGTTTATTTTGAACACATTAAAACAATATTTACAATATAAAAGTTAATTTCCTCGGACTATTTTATTTTATTTTATATTACATACGGATCTAAGTTCAATTACAATTATATAATATTATCTGGCATTAGCCAGTTCATTAATTATGTCATTCATATCTAATTGTATGCCTCGATGAATGGATTTCATTGCTAATCCAATTACTCTCCTCTACAAAATAATTGAAAGATTACTTCATTTATTATTGATCTTATATTTGTTGAAAACGATGTTTTTGGTGTTATCCATAAGCGCCAGTTTTTTAAAACGTTATAGGAGCTCACTTTGTTAGATACTCATGTACAGTTTTATCCGACTCTCGCCATATATTCCGTATAGGCTTGTCAATCTCATGGGGGCCTCCCTTCTGTAAAGGTGTGTATTAAGGTATGTGACGCTGTGTGTGTATAACTATTATTACTATTTATTATTATTAGTGTTATTAACATTAATCTGTTGGTTATGAATTTAACTACAATTATAAGTATTATAGAACAAATAAAATAAAAACGATGGACCTTCCTCCCATAACAAATTTCTAGGTGCACTCATGGTTGACATTGATAATGTTAAAAATGATTGAATTTAAAAAAAAATTTACATTATTGTTGTCTCTTGTCTAAAATTTGTTAAAGCTTGCGATAGTTTAAATTGTTTTCAATACCACTACTAAATGATCTCAATGTAATCATTAATTTGTCCATGAAAAATAATGAAACATTTTGTTTGTGATTTTTGTTAACATCAAAAAATTGTAGAAACTTAACGATTCGTCATTATTAGTGTTTTCAACACCGACATTTTTTTTTCAAAATCCTCAATAATAAAAAGGCTATTTTTAATTTTGTTTAAATATAAAATAGAAGAATCATAGCACATTGATCATAGTATTTTAAAAAAAATATATTGAACAAAACAAAAGTTATTTCAGGTATTAAATCTTCGTGTTACAGCCTGCACAATATATATATATATATATATATATCTAATCCAACATCCAGTCAATGTATAACATTAATTTGTAGTATATTATTAACTAGACAAAATATGATTACCTATAGCAGGTTTAAATATAAGATCTACCTAATATGCTTCTTCAAACATTCTTGTATGATAAATAAAAAAAGTTTTATTTTTCGATTTAAATAATTTATCTCCGGTTGTTTGTTACTAAAATATTGGTTGTTTTTAACATTTTTTTTTTTTTAGCAGAATAAGATCTAACCTACTTTATTATTTTAAATACAATATACTTGCCACCGCTCACCGTGCTACCAGTTTAAAACATATCGCGTTTCTGAAATACTATTTCCGAACCATAATATTGTTATTTACGTATTTCTTCTTTCTTTATTGATAATATAGAAATATAGATTATAATTTTGGTAACAATTTTTAACCGTGTTAGTTATTTAATATAATTATTATAATATATACATGTATAATTTATTTTAAGCGTATATTAGTATAAAGTTTAATTTTTGTTTTACTTTTGTAATTAGTTTTGATATTTTTTAGGAACATTACAAGTTGGAATCGGTTCCTATATTTAAAATCGTTTCTTTTGATAAATGAGAGTTCGCGTACATTTTCCGATTTAATACAGATCATAATATTTTTATCATAAGTAAATTTTAATTTTTGAATCGTCAGATTACTCTTTAGTATATATTAGAACTATTCACCGTAGTAATCATCATATTTTCTACAACCAAAACCAATGGATCCCGACGATTTTTCGTTGGATTTCAGTTAGTTTATTTTAAACAGGTATAATAATTATAATAATGTTTTAAATAATAAACTCTGCGCGTATGAGGTGTATGCAAATATATCGAAGTGTGCAGAATTATTCCGCTGAATGATCCTTGCCAGCAGGTCACGTAGGTATACAGCTTTTTTATTATTTTTTTTTTCCTATAATGATATTACAACAGAAACCGGTTATATATAGTAGTTTTCCAAGTTCGGCCTCTTATAACAGTACTTGTTCTGGTCAAACGGCACTATATTGCATATAGGCGTGGTGCCCAGTGTGTGTTCCCAACCAAAGAGCGCATGCAGGAAACCGGCCGTGTCCATTCATTAATTACACGTCTTTATAATAATATTACTAAATCAAAAATCGTTATACTACATATTATTATACTATACGTATTACAGGAATTTATAGTTTTTTTTTTAAATGTACATAATATTATATATGCATATATATATATATATGTAGGTTGAGTTTAAATTAAATGTCTTATCTACCTTTATTTTGTCTGCACGACCACATTTTCACAATCGCTATATAATATATTAGGGGAAAACCATTTATCTATTTATTTGTATTATAATTATTATTAATCGAGTTGTATCGAATTACCTATTATATTAATTTCAGTCAATCTCCCATTGTTTGTATTCGGTAAATGAAAAACGCCATTAGGTATTTTAGGTATTAACTATTAGGTGCAAATAATAATGGTTTGCCTATATACAAATCAACGTACTCATTATTCTAGAACGGGTACTATATTATTATATTATACGACGAATATCTTGAAAAGATCGTGAGAAATAATGTTAGAATATTTAAATTTGATAGAAAACTATATTATAATTGTAACTCGCTACACCGTCACCAACAATAATTATAGGTATTAGGTAGGTACCTATATAAAGATACCTACCTATTTACTATGTGTATAGAAACGACTACTGGCGCATTATAATATTATTAGTAATACGAATTGGATTTTTTTTTTGTCTGTTATGTATATAACCTGTAGGTTTTTTCGTCGCCCCCTATCCGGTCACCTGCGCATGCATATAGATGCACGAATCGATTTGTATAATATAATATAAAACGCGACTACTTTACAGTGGGCGGTCAAGTACAACGACATGGTACCACATTTACCTATAGTGTTACAAATACTTGTTTACTAACGTTTCATCATCCATCTTCGCTGTTTTGTTTTTTAACCATAGTACTATAATAATTTATAAAAAAAAAACATCAACAACTGATATAGCTCGAAATATGATTATTATATTAATATAATAAAATAATACAATGAAAATGTTGCCAGGTCATTGATTTTAATGTCGTCAAGTTTACCTAATAATATGTACAATGTATCTACCCTATTTTTATAAACATTGCATTTTTTTTTTTAAACACTTAATAGATTCATTTTCTTCTGCGCCGGTCATATACTCGTTATAGTTTCCATTTAATGGGTTACCTAGTTACACCTATTATTATATTATCAAAGTAATATCGCAGTGATGGTCATATATAGAGCGTGTACACACCATCAGTATATATCTTATATGGATACACTATACATATAAATGATACACAAAAACAACGTGTACTTATGTAGGTATTATAGGTACACGTTTTAATATTTCTTGATGATTTTCCCGTGAAAACTTAAATGGTCTTTTTATTACGACCGATTTATACTATAATATGTTGCCGAACGTGGTGTCTGTCAACAATTACGCCGAATGCCGAAATAATCCTTATTTTATACCTACTTAATTTAGTCGCTGCACCGATTTACAAAAATATACATATTTGGCAAACTTTCAAATTGGCTGATACACAACGTTTAGGTTTCTGCCAATATAAATACATCTTTAATGTGTTGCAGTGTATCGAGTTATTGATTTGTACACTTGTATATTATTGTTATTGGTAGGTAGTTACGTATTTTTTTTGTTAATTATTGGTAATAATCGTACAATTATTATTATTGTTTTTTTTAATTTTTATAATAATTGTAAAAATTATTGAAAGTTATTCTCATAGTGGTTAAAGTGGGGAAAACTTCAAAGGGTGACTATATTTAGTGAAAATTCAAGAGTGTTCCCAAGGACTAACTAAATCGTTTAAATCTAATCAAACTCTCAGACAGGCCCAGATTAAGAGGGAACCCAAGGCAGAAGCCAGAGGGATATCGTAATATTGTGGGCCCCTGGCCTTAACTGGTAGTACTGTATAAACACTAATATATTGAATATGTTTATGGACCCCTAAAATTGTTTGGTCCCAGGCCCAAAATCCTTCTTATCCGGGCTTGGTCTCAGAAAAACCATCATCGAGACAATAGATTTCCAAAATATTTTTCTCACACACATTGACTCATATGTTCATAAAAATGTTATACAATTAGAGTTTAAAAATAAACTGAACTTCTTCTCAAACTTTATTAGAATTATCTTAGCGACAAAAACTAAAGCATCCCCCTTCCCCGACTTCAAACACTTAAATTAAAGGAGGACTAATAATAATTTTACCTTAAATAAGAAAGAGGATGCGAGTTTTTGTGTTATGAGAAAATGTTGATTTTATTATTTATATCATATTATATCAGTGGCACACTCACAGAGGGGGTTGGGGGGTTAACTCCCCCGGAAATTTCTCCCTTCACTCAGTTTTTTTAAATCAAGTTTTACATTCAACTACATATTATCTTATACCACAGAATAAAATAAAATTTAATTTCACCATAAATCATTTATGTATTAATAATAATGATAGTATTATACTATTATACTGATAATATGTGCTATCCCCTCTCTAGGAAATTATTATAAACACCATCCTCCCGCCCCCCCCCCCAAAAAAAAAAAAAATCCTGCGTGCGCTACTGTATTATTTAGGTACTACGGATGGAGTCATGGGTCACTAATTTGAAGTGCATACACCTTATAAGTGACTATCTCAATCTAAAACCGTACAATGAACAAAGAACATCTGGTTGAGACTCACGATCCGCGCATGCACGAATAAACTCATCATAATGTATTATCTATTTATCAAAATAATACATGTAGATCGAACGTCTCACACATATCTTATGACTCATATTTTCATATCGTATATTTGGTTCAAATTGTTTACATTTACATGGCTCCATTCTCCATTAATTTTACATGACCTAAGATTTATAAACAAAATCTTATGAGTCATCATATATACTTATAGAGATGGTGATCAGGAATATTACGTTATGTAAGACAACATAAACTCGGAAAGTATTAAATTTTTTGAAATTTGTTTTTTAAAATATTTATGAGGCAATAAAAATGTTATATTGTAGTTATATTTTGTCGCCCTTATTTTTGGTGTATCACTATACGTACTGCTACTTTTAAATAAATATCGCAACCTATATTAAAAATTACATAAATAGAAAACATTTTAGTTTCTTACATTTTGATATTGAAATTTTTAACTTCCGTTAACTCGTTAACGAAATATTGTACTTTTCAGTTTTCAGTCTTGTTATAAGGGAAGAGTATAGTTGGGCATTATTCAAATGTGCCACATATTCAACTCAAACTTAAAAGTAAAATATTTTGTCAACGAGTTGATGTTGACGGATATTAAAAATGTTAACACTAAAATGGATTTAAACTTCATTCATTAAAAAAAAGGTAATACTTATCGAGATTATGAGCCTTAGTTGATCCCTAGACTGTAAAATTTATTGAAAATTGAATTTATTCAATGCGAGTACCTACACGTTTCTATAATTTAAAAAAATAATTCTAAATTGTATAATCTTTACTATTTTTCCAATACCATTAATAATTTATGTTATAGGTATATAAATAAACATGTATATTTATTTTTTCTCTATGAAGAAATTAATATTAATTGTGTCTAAAACATATAACTGATAATTTAAAATAAAAGAGGTTGAGCATTAGTTTATTTATTTATTTACAATTCTTACGGACAATGTTCAATGTATAATATATTAATATTAATAACAATAATAATATAGGTTGTAAACAAAAAAAAACAAAAACAAAACAAATTATTTTAATATTTCACATAAATAGATTATTAATTCATTATTGCCAGGAGCCATTAAAATATTTGTTGGGTGATTCAATGTGAAATTTTGAGAAAAAATTGGAACATACAATAATTGATTATTTTATATGTTGTATTTGTTGTTTACTTAAAAATTTACCTGGTTAGTATAAATTAGTTGGCTTATTAAAGTTTATATTATTAAATTTGTAGCTAAATAAAATATAAAAATAAAATATTCTGTTAAACCTTAAAAGTAGGTACCATTATAGTTGCATCAATAAATATATCTTTTAATTGCACTTTTATTATATTTTAACGTTTTTAATATCGGTTAGGTTCGAATAAATTTGTACAATTTGTTTATCGTTTAAAATATTAAAACTAATATAAATATATCTAGTACAGAACAAAATCATAAATCATGCTTAGGTTTAAAATTAATTTTAGAAAGTAATAACTAATAAGTAAAAGAAATTTATTAGTAGTTATCTAGAATTAAATTAATTACTCAACCAATGCATTCCATTTAAATAAAAACGTTCTGAAATTAAAAACATTTTCCAACAAGATTTCTCTTGGTAAAAATATTTTATTTGAAAAATAATAAAATAACAGGTTTTTTAATAACTGAGTATTTTCTTGAATGTTGTAAAGATTTTATGATTATTACTTAATTTTGATTTTAATCTTACCTACTTTGTTTATTAGTATTTTGGTAATAAGAGTTTTTCTAACGCTTTTTTAATATTTCTTAAACATTTTTTAGTTACCTAAACCATGAGACTATTCAAAAGACGCTGCTCTGATCCAAGTCCTCAGCTCGTTAGTTTATCTCCAATCGAACAGGACCATAGAGATGTATCTCCTGGATATACAACTCCAAAAGGATGTACTACACCTGAAAATGGTTCACCAAAACCTCATAAAAAAAGTAATACACTTATGTTTATTATATTTTATTAATAATAATTATTTACAAAATGAATACAATATTTTTGTAGGTTTAGCAACATGGGGTAAAAAAGTGGGAAGAAAATGGGATCAATTAAAAAGAAGCGACTCTTCAGAAATACTTCAAGTTTCTCCAAATCGTAGAAGACAATGGTCACCTATGTCTAAAGCAAATATAAATAATCAAGATATTCAATTTCATCAAAATTACATTGATAAATTACATAATAACCAAAATAGACGTTTATCAAGAATAGAGAGTATTAAACGGATAGAAGAACCATACACGGTAGAAGAAAAAAATCAAGATTGGTTAAAGGAGAAATGTCAAAAAGGTCTTGAGGATTTATATGCCATGGAAAAACCTTCAACAATTAAAATAGTTTCTCGTCAAATACCAATACAAAGAACAAGAATATCTGTGGACATTGATGAAAGTCCACTCGAAGAGCAGTGTATTTTGGAATATCTTATTTCTAATAAAAAAAAATTAGGTTTAGAGCAAAGTGTTGATAACCTTCAAAATCTTAGTTATGAGGACCTTATTAAAGTGTTCAATAATGTTACAAATCAAGTAAATGAAAATATTAATCTTAAAAATCGTAGAAGAAGGCATACAAGTTTCGGGGAAACAATAATGATAAATAAAATTGACAACAAAAATCGTGTGGTTATTAAAGCCGATGAAAGTGGTTATGAGAGTGATTCAACGAGAAATGGTGGAGATTCGCCGAGAGGATCCATTAAATCACAATCTTCAATTGACAATGATGAATTTTCACGACGAAAAAACGTTCGTATAGGACTAAAAAGAGGTGAAGTAAAGGAACTTCAAGTTGGATCTAATCTAGAAACTTTGTCATTAATGTGTGATGAATGTAAAAAGCCTGAACAAAATATAAGTCTATATCAAAAGTTTTTATTAAAAAAAAGTAGCTGTATGGGCCTAAATGAAAGACACACCGAGATAAAAACCATACGATTTAATAAACGTTTAGGAGAAGATGTTGGAGTTAGAGTGGATTATCGAGATGCAACTTTGAGATCTCGGTCATTATTTATTACAGCATTATCAGGTCCAGCAGCTAGGTAAGGTGTGATTCATAAGCTGTCATTGTTCATTACATAAAATGTGTTTATTGATTTTTTTCAGAGATGGTAGATTATGTATTCAAGATGAAATCACTAAAATCAATGGTACTAGAGTAAAGGGCTTAAGACGACAAGAAGTAGAATCCATATTGCGCTCATCCAAATGCAATATAGAATTTGTTGTCTCTAGAGCTAAATGTCAATTAAACTCCAATCCAAAACCAGTTGTATTAATTGATAAACCACCAACAGTTCCTAAATACCCATTAAAATCAGAAGAAATTCATGAGCCCCTGTATTCCAGACAGTCATCTTTACCAGAAATTAAACTAGAGGAGAAACCGAAAATGACTGGAATGAGGAAGTTTTCTGTGCATTTAGATCAAACCCGTCACAAAAATATTCAATTACCTCGATTACCAAGACCTCGATCATTATCAATATCTTTAACAACAATAATTTTTCACAAAGGACCTGGTTTCAAGTCTTTAGGTTTCAGTATTGTTGGTGGAATTGATTCTCCTAAAGGAAGCATGGGGATATTTGTTAAAACAATTTTTCCTTCTGGTCAAGCAGCTGAATCACAGTTATTAAAAGAAGGTACCTTCTACCTGTGTACCTATGTTATAATTATATACATTTGTTCAACTTGTTTATTAAACTAACATTTTAACAGGAGATGAAATAATCAGTGTAAATGGAAAAAGCTTGGATGGTTTTAAACATTCTCAAGCCATAGCATTATTTAAAGAAGTTAAGTATGGTCAAATAATTATTCAAATTGGAAGAAGAGATCTCATTAAAAGGTAATTTGTAATAAAAGCAACAATTAACCTCCTATATTTAAATAATTAACTATACCTAATAAAATAAATTATGTGATTTTTGTATTTATTTTCAGGAGCAATAAATCTAAATCATGTGATGAATTAGACAAAGTTGTTAAAGATCACTGAAAAAATTAATTATATATTATGATTTAGTAAAATACATTCTGTGATATAAATAAATTATAATAAATAAAAATAAACTGTTATAATAAGTAATATAAACCAATCATAAACATAAATTTATTATTAAATTTATAATTATACAATAAGTAAAAATTGTGTTCATTTTTATTTAAAAAAAAAAAAAACCATAATTACCTTCAAAAACAAGGTATCTACTAACAAATGACAAAAAACAGATCTTTATTACTATTTAAATTATTTTGTTTACTAAAAAAATAACTCTCCTAAAATCTTAAAATTTTTACCAAAATCCAATATTTTAAATACATATTAAGAAAACTTTTAAACATTTTTTCGGCTAAATATAACATAACCTGGACAATTTTGATCAAAACTGTTTTAAATGTAAAATCTTTGTTTTCAATAGATTTTTAAAATAGTAGTTTAATAGAATACTCTATTTTCTATAACAATTTTTGTAATGAGGTTTGAAGTACATAAGTTGTTTAAATATACTTGTTTAAAATACTTGCAATATCATCATCTTCATTTAATTCTAATTGATCAATTATTTTCATTAATTTTGTTATGTTAATTGATTTTCCTTTATTTTTTTCTTTAACTACTGACTTTTTTCTTTCATCATATGAAATCCCGTCACAAAATATTTCATCTATTTTTTCCAAAAATGGGAACTTTGATTTAGTTGTTTCACTTAACATCAGGTTTTTAGATATCTCCAGTTTATACACAGGACTTAAACACATAGCTAAGTAAGGTGTACCGTTTTTCACCATTTCATCTACATAACTTTTTATTTTGGTATTTGTAGGTTTTTTAAGTGTGTCTATATTAAATGCTTCATGGTCCAGTGGAGGTCTTGATTCAATGAACACATACTCGATTTCCTCATCATCTACTTTAGGTGATTCTATAAGGGTACTGTCAGTCTCGTCAATAGTGATTCGATCAGTATTACTAAAGCTCCATTCTAATGGAAGTGCTGGTTTTTTGTCTTCCACTGGTGGAGGAAGAGGTGAATGGTTTTGGGAATAGTCCTTCAAATTTTGTTTTATTGTTGATATATAATTAGAGCAAACAATTAACAATATTTCTGATTCCCAGTTTTCTCTAAAAATATTTATAAATTTTAAAATAATATTTAGGCTGGTATATTATTGATAATATATGCTATATTCCATTTACTTGGGCATATAAATACTTGTTGGTAAGCTGGTTATATTACTTGCATCAATAGATTTCAAAGACGCTTTTTGTTCTTCGGGTGGTTTTTTAATGACAGGCCCCGGATAAAATGTTTGAGTAGTAAATTCAACAACTTTTCCAAGTACATTATAAACAGGAAAATCAAATTGAATTGTTTGTAAACAAACATATGTGTTTAAACTCCATACCATAAGTACCTATTAAAAATAAAAATAAATATTAATGAAAACTGTAGATATGGTTAAACAAATTTAGTAATTATTACTTCATCTTTAGAAATGCTAATCACGAGATTAAAATTTTCATAAATTCTGACATCTACAATTGATTTTTTATGCCCTTCTAGTTTTGCTAAGTACATTTTAGTTACCAATGGGTTCCAAATATAAACTATACATGCACAGCCAGTGACTAATAATTTAAGAGTTTCATTGTAATGAAAACAATGTATGCCCTATTAATTATTATCCATTATATAATATAAACAATACAAATATAATCATTATATTAATATGACATTATAAATAATACATGTTGAATATGAAATATATATGGTTCCCATTCATCTCGTAAATGTTTGATGACCAGAGATTTTTTGTAATTTTGACAACAACTTATAGTAGCTTCATCTGATTGACAATAAGTAATATATTTAATACTATCTGGATGAATTGGAACTCCAAATGTGTGTATTTTAACCCATTCTTGTTGAGATTCTAATTCCTGTGTATGATGTACCAAAACGTATATAACAAATAAAATAAAATTTAAAATCAATATGTATACTGTATTTAAGTATACTTAATCAAATTACTATTAATACTTCAAAAATTTGTAATTTTGAAGTAATTATAAAATTAGTGAAAAAATTTTGAAAATGCAAAAAATATCTTTCTATGATATTCAATCAAATCCTTTGAAAAAACGCCTTAGTCATTCATTTTTTACTTATTTGATAAATTATAATAAACTGAAATCCCATTTTATCATATAACATCTTGTTCTTCATAATATTTTAAAATTATTAACTACATATTGATACTTACTTTCCACAAGTATGTATCAACTTTATTTGTTGGATCTCGTTTAAATAATGATCGTTTGGGTTGAAGGAATTCTATATGACCTATACTGCCTTTATCGTCACCAATAAATAAAAGTGATATACTACCAGGACAGTACTCTAAACAAGTTGGTGTTGTTTTTAAACCTGAATAACATCATCAATCACAAATTAAAAAATAATTCAAGGGAATTAAGTAGTGAATAAAAATATTTTTGCTATTCACCAGTAATACAAAAAGTTGGAACGTGAACAAGACAAACTGTATCTATAAAATGAATGGAACCATCAGATACAGCAATAGTTATAAATTGAGCATCTGGCATGTACACAGAATCATTTATCCAAATATTATGTCGACGACGGGCAGTCCGTACTAGGTCATCAGGACATTGAGATAATTGTAATACATATTCTCTTAATAAGTTTAAATGACCATCGTAGATACCCACTTGTCCCAAACGAGATAAAACAGTATAGCAAAAAAATTCTTCAGTTTCTATGCTAATCACTTTTACTATGGACTCATGCTGTGGAATAAATAATTTTCTGTCACGTATTTGTTATTGAAATTAAATTATTAATTATTAGGTCCGAACTAAGTAGATAGGGATTTTATTATAATATGTTAAATATTGTAAAAAATCAGAGAATATTAGATACTGTCTGTATAAGGTATTTTAGAACAACAGCACATTTATAGAACTACTTACGGGACACTAATTATTGATTATATTATTATTATTACCTATATAATAAAATCAATGATAATTGATTGGGCATATTAGTCTACCATTATTATTACATAATACTGTCATTTACTAGCTGAGTATAACGGAAAATTGAACTACTATATATTATGGGTATTTCTATAATAAATAGGTTGGGAAATGTTATTTATAGTATAAAATAAAAATATGTATATATATATTTATATACATAAAAAAAGTTTTAATACTTAATGTACTACTTGGAAATTATGAGTAAACGATGTAGGTATCCAAGATACGTAAGATACATACTAAGAGACGTAGGTACCTAAATATCGTGAATAAAAATGTAGGTACCAAACACCTGCTATCATAATACATTATGTTGTTTTCAAATCACCATATGGCATAATATAGGAGTACCTATATTACATTATATTATACTATATCAAAATTAACCAGAATAACTTTTCTGATTAGCGCATTGGGTAGGTTATATTTTGAATTTCCGTGTAGTTTTCCTAATAATTGGGAAAAACAGGAATATTTAACAATAATGGATGATGTTAATTTCAATTTTGTTTAAGATTCGAAGTGTAACTAGGAATGTATAAGTTTTACATTAATGTTTATTATTTTGTTTTTTTTTATACTGTACACGAAATTTCTACCAGGAATCTTGCTTCAATGTACCTATCAAGTGTAGCACCTTGTTTGAAACAAAATTTTATATGGTTGGTACTTTAAGGAGGTTATTTTTTTTGATTTACCAGGTGATATCATAATAATTGGAAAAAAAATGCAAGAATAAACGGACAAATATTTACGGCATAAAGATTTCGATGATTTTACATTTTTGTGACTTACGTTTTCTACTAGAAATCTTGCTTCAGTCAAAGAATGACAAGAGACCGTTTTTGTTGAATTTTGGAACTAGTTGCTGTCTATTTTTTTATTTTCCGAGTAATTTTCATAATAATTGGAAAAAACAAAAACAACAAAAAAAAGACGAAAAATGAAAACTGAAAAATGTACGGTGTCACGAATTCATGATTCCTTTATTTCAAATTGTTTACGATATATATTTTCCAGTAGAATTATCGCTCCAATAGAAAAACCACAAAAGACATTTAATTAAATTTGTGTAGGTTAGTAAATATTTAATCTGTTTAAATCATTTAAACAATCTAAATTGTTCTCTCTTGTTAAACTATAGGCTCTTATAATTATCATTACCTATCACATTCAAATGAAAAATATTAATACACGAATGTAAAGTGATCACTTTTACCATTAAATTATGCAAAACAATATAGGCATGGATTAAGTATACTTAATCAATGATTCAAGGTAGGGAATAGTATCTAAGTACCTACCTATAATTAATTATGTATAGGTACATATTGTTTTATTACTTACTTTACAGTGTGACATTAAATGCATGGTTATATTATTTTGGTCAAAGGGTGTAGTAATCCAAGCATCTTGAAAAAAAGTTGTGTTGTATCGAATTTCATTTAACACTTGTTTCCAAAAAATAATATCTTCTTTAGTATTAAAATCCTCAACACAAACTTGTTCAAAAAAATCTTCAGCTTCTTTTATGTATAAATTATTACCTGTATGAAAAATGAACAAGTAGGTATACTTTTAATGTAGTTATGTTGTAATATACTGATATTAATATTGTGTAAAATGACTAAAATGTATGATTTATTACGACTTACACGTAATGTATTTCATCAATTATAAGACATTATTGGGACATGCTATTTATAAAGTAGGTACCTAAAAAATCTCGTTGGGCCTGTCTATAGATATTTTAAATGAGTTCACACTTTTGATTTTCAAATAGGAACCCATTAGTCTTTTAAAAAAAATTTCGAATGGAGAATAGTTGTCTAAAAATGGTGATGAACTTTAACGCCTATATTAGTTGAAACAGTTTAACTAGTTTAATCAATAATCCATTTTTAGATGATAACTTGAAACTTTCGAGGTTCATATAATTATAGTTAGGTACCTATATTACTTTTTATGGTAGATACCTTCTCAGAAACTATAGCTTACTTACCAGTTATTGAACATATAGATTCAACAAATTCTTCTTTTTTTAATGAATGTTCCTTATGATCGTTATAAAAAAAATACATTTTCAAATTCTTCAACTGTGAAACATCTAATATATTTATGAGTTTTGATTGTTTATTTAACTCGGATCCCCTATAAATAAATAATAGTCCATAGGTAATATTAATTATGTTAATTCACATAGGTAGGTAAATAGGTGACCTATATACCTAATATTGGTAAATAATTAGGTACTTACTCGCGAGAATCTAAAGAATAATCTACCGATAGCGAAGAATTAGAATTTGAAATACTGGTCATATTTAAAAATAATAATAACTGCTTATTCAATAAATTAAATATACAGTAGATACTATAGCTTCAAAGATAAGTATCTAACTAAATATTTTAAGTCTAATGTATATCAATGCCAAATACAATAACAAATGTGTTTAATCAATAATACTGAGTAGATACCTACTCAGTGGGGGTAATAACTGTAATATTATTAGGTAGATATTTATTACTACTTAACAATTACAATAAGGAATTAAATTAAAAACACAAAGTCTAGAGTCGAGTATAAATAAAAAGATATTTTAAAGATTAGAGACATATAAAATTAATTAAATTAAATTTTAAATATCAATACTTATAGGAAAAAACAGCTACCTTAGGTAGGCATAGGTAGCATAATTATGGGTAAAAACCAAAGGACACATTTTTATTTTTGTAAATATTGGGAACGGAAAAAAATAATTTTATTTATAAGATGATTTTGAGAAGAACTCACAAATAAATGCAGTTGATCAAGTAGGTTCTCTTGTTGCCATAAAAAGTGCATTTTGAAATTGAGGGTAAGTAGTTAAGTACTTTAAAAAAAATTGTACCTACTTCTCAAAATGGTCTTAACACAAACTCACAATACCATGTTGAATATTATCTGGTCCATCTATTACCTACTGTTATACTATTTATATGAATTAATATTATGTATTTATTACTAGGTAAAAAAAAAATTACATTTTTGTAATTACTTGATGGATTGATTTTCAAGATTCAAATAGAAACATGTAAATCATGTAAAATAAAATGTGTTAAAAAATTAAAGTATTTAACCATTATGGACCACAATAATTCCAGGAAATGTAAATACTTCTTTACACCCCAATGTCTATGAGTTGAATAAATTGTATTCAGATAATTAATAATACAATAGATTTTTTTTATAATAAACAAAATTTGCAAGTTATAAAAATAATATTACTTTTTCATCATAAATTATATTTATATTATATTTTAAGGAAAGAACAAAGACATACATGCATAGGTATGTGCAATAAGATTATCTATACACAAATTAGTATTAACAAGCGAAATTCTAAAAAAGTATTAAAAATAAAATAATTAACAACATATATATTGTAATTTAATAACACAATTACTTGAATATAAATTTATCTTAGTATTATTATTATATTAATATTACAAGTTAGATAATATTTGCTGAGTTTCATCGATTCAGCCACAACCAAATAACTCAAATCACAAATTTTCATTAAATACATTAAAACCAGTTTTTTTTTTAAAATAAAAAAATTGTTCATTAACATATAATAATAATCTACAAAACATTAATATGATGTTGAAGATAAAATTTTAAGAGTATAATAATATAAATATTTGTATTAAAAATAAACTAAACCAATATCAAATAATAAAAAATATAAATTATATAAAATCACAATAAGCATATTATATTTTGCAAAATAACATACATTTAAGCTGAAAAACACATATTTGGCACAAACATGAACAAAAAAGGAAACAAGAAATTAAAATTAAGTTTAATGTAATAAAAGTTAAAGATTAATGTATTAATTTAATGTGCTACTACTACATAATTAATGAGTTTCGCCAATGAGTAAATTATTAATATAATAGAAAATTAATAATTATAATGACTAGACAATTATTAAGAAGTCAATATTACACTTAGTGTTTAAAAATGCGAGGAAATATTATAAGAAACATGAATATTTTTGATAATTGTATATATTATTTGATTATTATGATTTTTCTATTATACTTTTATATGAATATAAATTAAGGAATGATCTTATTATTATCAATATATTAAATTTTGTTTTGTTAATATAAGCTATTTGGTGTTTCTTTTAAAATAATAAGTAATTTATTAATACTATAAATTATTTTTTGTCATGTATTTAATTTAATTAAGTATAAGCTAAATCAGTCATACAGTTGTTCCTAATGTACCAAATACAACTCTGGTAGATTCCGAATCTAGACTTATATCTTCCGGTGAAGCTAATTCTACTCGTACTGCTCCAGTTTGACGTGCTCGCAACATCCAGTCATCACGTTGCCAGTTATAAACATTAACATTCTGTTCTTCAGGTTCTACACTTTCAGATGTCAGAGAACTACGAGAATCTGCACTATCAAAACTACTGGCAGGAATATAATCAGTTGACAAAGGATCAGATGTACGATCTTCCAAAGCTCTAAAATAATATATAATTAAATTCATATATCTATATACATAATTTTTTTATAGGTATATAAAGTGTAATAGCACTATTTAACAAGTGTAATAACTTTTTTTGTATTGAATATTTTGAAGTTTTTTTTTACAAAAATTATATGACATTATAAATTAAATATTTTTTAGTTAAATGTTTATGTTTATGAATTCAAAATAATATATATATATAAAAAAAAATTGAAAAAGCTATTTTATAAATTTAATTTTTAGAATTATTTTTAAACAATTTCTAAGTTTTGTCAAATATGACTTTTTACCTGCTTAAATTTCAACAGGTTAATTTTATTTTTCTATCAAAAATTGTACAATTTTATATTTTTAACATATTAATTTAAGCTGCGAGTCTGATAAACCGTTATCATTTATCATTAGTAAAATTAGCAAAAAATATACAATTTTAACAAATTTTAAAAATGAATAACATAACCTAATCAATAGTTTTAAACTTTAACTTTTTTATTATTAGTAGTAAAGTAATAAAATAAAATATAAAAATTATAACAGAACTCTTGTAATTATTACAAAAAAAAACCTAAGAAAAATATGTATTAAATTTATTAAATAGTTCAGTTACATTTGTATAAATACAATTAAATGTTACAAACCGTAATATTCCAATATAATTTTCAGATTCTAAAGTAATAGGAGATTCTGAATCTCTATTATATATTATTAAAGCTATGTGAGCTGGGTGAGGAACAGGTAATGGTATACACAATTTATCTGCCATATATGGCTGTTGGGGTCGTTTCCATGGCCGAGATTTGTTCTTTTGAGATGACACAGAATTTGTTCCTAAATATGCTTTGTGTCTGCGAGTACCAGTCTTAAAACGTCCACCTAATAGCATAGTATAAGTAATGCTATTGCTAAAACAAAATGTATATTATTTTTAATGCAACTTTTTTTTTTTTTCCAACTAATACCAAGCATTTTCTAATTTTTTAAATTTGCAGTGTAGTAGCTTTGAACGAGGATTAAATGCTGAAATCTCCAAGTATGGTGACTGTATTTGTATATTCCCCCGTGATGAATATAATGGACTAGACATTTCTGAACACTGGCCATCAATATTAATATTTTGAATAGCATTAGAAAATCGGGATAAATCTACACTGTGTTCAGTCTAAACAGCATTGAAAATATTAAATTATAATATTATATTTATTAATAATATTTATTACCTCTAATTTAAATTTAGTATCTGTATCATCTAATGGTGTAAGAAAATCTAAACTAAATATATCAGTAAAAAACACAACAGCAAGAGCAGGCCAATCATTAATTCCAAGCCCTTTAGATTCCCAAAATTCTTCTTCACTAATAGATAGCTTCTGTATTACATGTTGGGGATACCAATGTTCTAACATTTTTGATGCTAAGGCAACGGTCACCTAAATATATACAATGTGTTGAAGTATTATTTATGATTATTTAAGCAATTTATATTTTACTTTAAGATCCTTTGAAGTTAGTCTAATTTTCGATTTAAGATTTGCAGACAAACCAGATTGAAGTTCACGTAATCTTCTTTCTAATTTATCTTGAAGTGCTGTCATCAAATCTTGACCTTCTTTTTCAAGCACTCGATAAGCTCCATTTTTAGCTAAATGTGCACTAAATGGTCCAAAACATACTTCAACAAAACGTGCAAAATCTTTTTGTGGCTGTTGAATTTTTTGTTCCATTAGATTTTGATATGCATTCAATTCATCAAGCTCCATTTTGGCTTCAAATGCAGCTAAAGCTTGTTCAGGATGGATTTGGAAATAATAATCTGATGCCATACCTGGACCAGCAATACGTTTAACAATAAAACTATCACATGCTGGTATTCTTCCACGTTTTTTTATCACCAAATGGTATATAATGCTATCCCAAGTTAAACGAAACCAGTATCTCAACAATGTAACTAAAAATTGTTAAGAAAAATTAAAATTAAATCATTGTAAATCAGTTATCATAATTACCAATGAATAATATAATTGTAATTATTGGACATAATATAAAAGCAATGAAACATGCTATAAGTGGTTGTAAAACACCTTGAAGAACTATATTCCATATTACTGCTTCTATTATAGCAAAATATCTGTTTTTCCATTCAGCTGGAGAGTCCAAATCATAAATTAAACCATTGAACATGTGTAATAATAATGTTACCAAAGGCATCCTACAAGTATATCTTTGTTTTATAAATATGATTAACATTTATTGACAATGCATCAAGAAAATCACCATAATGGACAAGTTAATGCCACCACCAGACTTCCAAGACTGACAGAGAGACAAATAACTGGAAAAATAATTAACATAGCCAAAGTGCCAAATATACCTTTGATTACATAGTTCCAAATACGATTTAAATGTCTAGTCATTCCTTTACCAATAAATCCTAAAAAATAACAAATATTAAAATATTCATGATTATAATTAATATATTTATATTTAATTATACCCGTATCAGGTTTTGTTTCAAAATGGGTTCGGCTTTTTGATATATGTCGCCAAAGTGAATTTAATCTAGATAGAAGTGTTGAAGTAAGTGAAGATTTTCTAGGAAATAATGTACCATTAACTTGAGATAATTCTAAATCTGGGTAAAACGATTCAGTACAGAACAAAGAACGTACGCTGACAGGACTACACCATGGTATTACTACCTGCTTATAGTAATCATAATTATTCACATATTTTTAAAGTATAAATAAATCAATAACAATTTTATCTTTTAAGGGATACTGACACCAAAGAAAAACATTGCATTCCATGTCCATGTCCAAGTACGATAGAAGTAATTTATAACTCTCCAGAATGGCCATCTCGTTGTTGTAGTGTGGGTAATTTCTTTTTCCACCAAAAATATAGCCTTGATATTTATAAAAATTATAATATAGTAGACAATACTTAAGTTTTTGTTAAAATACATACTTGACTAGGATTAGACCTAGGTGTTGTAATAGCTGTTGCTGTTGTGCTCAATACAGTTGGTATTGTTTCTGATTGACCTTGGAATGATCTTCGTACAGTCCAATTACTTGGATTCCAAATTTGTGTTAGCCAATGAAATGTTCTAGTAGGAATTTTCACAGCTTTAAGTTCTTTTGATAATACAGGTTCTCTCTAAGGTAATGCTATTATTTAATATGTAGACAATAGTGAATTGTATGTTTTTATTTTAATTAATAATTTACAGTAAATTTTGTTTTTATATATTTATATTAAGTTGTATTCCAATTTTTAATAAAATTTGTTTTCTTTTGTGAAATTGATATTCAAAATTATCAAGAATTAATTAATAATAGTATTAAAATGCATATACTTCTCGCATGAAAGCCAAATCCCTCTGTAAAAAATATATGGCTTGATGCAAGTTGTATTCTTTACAAAGAGTTAATGCTTCTTCATGAGCACTCCATTGACATTCTTGAATAAACTTTTCCTATAATATATAAACTTCAATTTACAATAATATAATATATAAAGTAATAATTTAATAACCTCAGCAATTCTTTGCTTGTCTCGCATCCAAGGTCCAATCCGTGATAAAACGGGATAAGTATATTGCATTCTTTGGGATAGTGTGTTTTTTTGTTTAATTATTTTTCTTTGTACATTTTCAACCGCCCTATAAAAATAATTTAATTTTAATATATATGTAATTTCATTTAAATTATGTTATTAATTAACCTATGCATAAGAACAATACACTGTGCTTGGTTGATTAAAAGTTTAGGAATTCCATCACCTAACATCTGAAGTTCAACATTATTAAGTATACTTTTATATACACGTTGTAAGTATTCTTTCATAACTGCTTCATTAACTGACTGAAATAAAATATAACAAATTAATAAATCATTAATTCAATTATCAATTAAAATGTTTACTTTTTCAATTTCTTCATCTGATAATTTTTGTGTTTTTAATTCATAAATAAGTTTTTCCCTAAAATGTAGAAACCAACCTCGCGTTTCACGCTCCAACAATCCCATTATCACAGGTAATGCTTTTTTCATAATGTCTCGATTAAAAAGTCTCAAATCAATTTCTTCACGCTATAATATAAATTTAAAATTTGAAATTTGCAATGATCTAATATAATTTATATTACTTTAGGCGTCAAAAATTGATAAGGAATTGGAATCTGAGGTGACATAGCTTCTTTTGATGGTTCAAATTTTTCAGTTGCTGCTCTTCGCAATTGTTTACGTACAAAACTTATAATATGCTCCAAGGCATGTTCTAGTTCTGGCTACAATTAACAAGATTATAAATAAGAAATTTGAAAATTATTTTATTATTAAAAATAAATTTAGTATAACATACTCGACAAATTAATTCTGCAACCAAGTAACGACAACGTTCCTCTCTTATTTTTTCTGGTAAATTATGTGCTTGTAAAGAGGGAACTCCAAATATAATATCTATAAATTTATAAAATGTACAATTAATTTAAAAAATAAAAATAGTTATTTTAAAATATATTAATTTATACCAATTAATTTAATGAAACCAGTTAAAATCGCCTTTATAGATTCTGCAATGCTAAAAAAATGTGAGAATAGTCGTGCTCTTGCAGTTACCAATAAAAATTGTAAAGCAAATGCTAGATCGTCTAATAATGTTTCTCGATTTCTTTCTGTTCCTTTTTGTAACCATTCTGTTAATCTCCATTTGTGTGTTTGTCCAACAAAATTAAGACTAGCTACTTCAAATTCCCTTGAAATAAAAATAATAATTGATAATACTAAATAAAGTAAATACAAATAACTTAAATATAAAAAATATGGTGCACAAAAAAAAAAAAATTAATATAAGCCATAAACCAAATGAAAACAAACAACCTAAAATTTTGTCAAAACCTTGACATACCCTAGTTTACGAATAGTGTCCAATTGTTTTGAATTTAACTTCTTTGGCTTTCCATGTATATCCTTGTCCAGACTTAATAATAATAACAAAATTGCAATATCCATTTAAAAACTGTTTTATGTATAGCTAATAATTCACTCAACTGAAAACACTAATAACCTCGGAAAGGAATAACTTTTTCCTTTTGAAAACTTAAGAAACAAATAATTCTAAAATGTCACATAATTATTTTTTTTTGTCACCCTTTTTTTAGTGGAGCATCATTTTAGTGGGAACACAGACTGTGGGGCATTGTAATAATCACCCCCAAAAATAGGGGTAACATAAATGTAAAATTGTAAATTTATAAATGATCTATAAAAGAAATTACAAAAAAAGTTAATACTTTTCCAAATAATGAGCGTCTTCAGTTGAGTGAATCACTCTGTATTTATGAAGTAAACTTACCCACGTTCCCGTAAAGATTCTAGTTGTTTGATGTTTAAATGCCTAGGTTCACCTTTAGTATTTACAGCAACTGCATCCAATTCATCAAAAGACGGTGGAACAAAAAGGTCTCGACAATTGATAGAACGGATAGATGTTATAGCTCGTCGGGCCAAGGTGCAATTTGAATCTGTACCTAAGCGAAAATTGATAATAATATCATGTATAATAATGGTCAAGATAGTAATATTTACCTGAACCATAAGTTGAATCATTTCCATTTATTTGAAATTTTGTTGTAATTGCTGTAGGCGGTAAAATAATTGGGAATGTTTTCCAATGATATAAAAATTGTTCTCCTACCTACAATAGTATAATTAAACATATTATTTAAATTAAAATATTTGTGTTACTTTGAATTAGATTGTACTTTTTTAATATTATCCACTAAATGAACTATTTCTTCAGGAGCTCCACACAGATTTACATCAAACTTTAAAGGTTCTTTCTGAAAAAAAAAGAGATCATATGTTAAAATAATTGTTTTACAATTTTAAACATACCTATTTTAATTCAAATTACTTCTGGCAATAAAGACATGTCAGGTAGTTGACAGTTTAACAGAGAAAATTCATTGGTTATCTTAATTTGTACTTTTGTACTTTATTTACATCATTTTTCATCCCAGTGTGTTGTTTTTACCTAAAAAAAAAAAATGAAAACAATACTCTTATAATTTATGGTACAAGTATTACGAGTATCATATTACAAAGATACCTTGTCGTTAAATAAAATTATAATAAAGATTGATTTCACAGAAACAAACTGCAGTATGGTAATTATATTTCCAAATGTGATATGTCTATATAGGCCAATGCAATAGTATAGGGTGGGATCTTACAAGTTAACTATTATAGGATGGGCCATATTTACACTTACCACACATGCCATTAATTGTTTAAATCAATTTTAAAAACGATCAAAGTCAACAACATGTCTGGTAAATCATTAACTCGGCAATAGTATAAACGATCGGAACAAAGCTATACGAAAAATGATTACTTAGAACTTTAAAAGTTTGTTATATTTATAATTATAAACATTTTTCTTTAGTGATAACTCTGTTGATAAAAACAAAAAAAATAAGAAAATTATAATATCGATTTAAGGTACCATGACCATGTTATTGTAGATTGTAGAATGATAGTCGATATTATTTATTTTTGTCTGATATGAATATATGATACAAATAAATAATACAATTTTAAAAATGTTAACTTTTTAAAAAAAATTGTTGTCGGATAAAATTGATTTAGATAGTAGATACCTAAATATTTTGTATTAAATGTCAGAAGAATTAAACACGAACTTAACCAGTGGTATGAAGTATTCTTTTCATGTGATATTATAATTGTAATTTTCGAAATGACTAATCTATAGAACTATAAGCTTTATAGATTCAATATTCTCCGTGTACAATGGAGTTGTCAAAAACTCGAAGAAGTGTTGGAAAGGGTAAGTACCTATTGTTTATTTTGGCTTGATACCATTTAATGATTATCCATTATTTCATATTTTAATTGTAGCAGGCAGTGTTGAAAATATTTTAGTAAATATATTGAAATAACATTTTAATTTGTAGGTATTTTAAAAAACATTTGCTATACATTTAATTTTTTTAATAGATATAATTAAATTTTATCAAGTATCTATGTTTTTAAAAAATGCATGAACACTTAAAAAATATAACTTAATATTTTAAACTTAAACAATTAATATTATTGTTTAATTGTGTCATTTACTTTTTATATCTAACCACATTATTTTAATGTAAATAAATTGAAATTTAAATTAACCTTGTTATTTCACACAGTGACCAATCAAATTAAATATTTTAATTGATTGTCAATATTAATCAATTAATTCAAATAATACAAATATTAATTGGATTTATACAATTAATTTTAGCCATTGTGATATACTTTCTAAAACAAAATACATTATATGAATTGATCATTGGCTATCAGTTAATAAATATAAATAAGATAAAATATAAAATAAATATAATATAAAATAAATTAAAACAAATTTTTATTTTTTATTGTATTAAAATTATAAACTATTATAGTTAATAGATAGTACTATAATTATTTCTTAAATATGTGTATGTATATACAGTATTCATTAGTGCAATACTAGTAACAGTATTATTTATAAATGTGAAATATTACAATTATACTGTATTTTTAAAAATATTAATGTGATATTTATTTTAGAAAAAATGTCATTTTCGGTACGTTTTAATGCAGAAGATGAAGAAGTTGAAGGGTTATATTCAACTCCTATCAAATTGCAATCAACAGGTAATTTGAATTTGCATAGAGATAAAATATAAACAATATAAATTAAACAAATTCCCATAAATCAAATTATAGTTATTACTTATTTGTTTGGAATGAAATAGTTTTTTTCAATTTTTCACATAATACATAAATTATAAATGTTTTCAAGGGGAAAAAAAATGGTAGTTATATTTATTAGAATATTTTGTTAATATTAGGGTCGACCGAAGAACAATTAAAAACACCTGACCAATCGTTAGGTAGTTCACAACATTTAGGTCTTTTTGGCTTAAAAAGATCATCTAGTTCAGATGCCGAATCTTCTCCATGTGATACAACTATCAGACGTCTTGATAGTTTTTTATCAGATATTAAAGAAGGAATATGGAGGAGTGAGAGTGGCGGTGATTTAAGCATGACGTCAAAGTAATACTAATACAAATTAATAATAAAAGAAAACATACCCATTAATTATGTATTATTAGGAAAACTGATGACTCAGGTCAAGACGATGATTCCATATCAATTATATCAAATGAAGTTGATGGAGTTGAAGAAGAAACTGAACAAATACAATATACTATTCTTGATAGAAATTTGTTTGGTATTCGTCGCAGACGTACTAAGGTAAAAGAAAAAACACAGTCAGACGATGATATAGAGACGGCAAAAGATGCTTTAGAAGACATACAACTTAAATCAAATAGTTTATCAATAATTGCACAGAATTTATTAGAAACACAATCAACAAGAACAAGAGACAAAATTAAATATACTATATTTATTTTGTTTGGAATAACAGGATGTTATTTAAGCTACAAATATATTCCACTATATTTAGTAAGTTTCAAATGTTTAAATATATATATATATATATTTAATAAGGATAATTTGTATACCTACTAATAATTGAATAACAGTAGTACAGGTATAAATTTGCTAAAATAAAATGTGTGGGTTTTTCAAAATAATCCTAAATTTTCAAGATTTTGTACGATATGTGATAATTAGTTATAAATAATGTAGTACATAGGCTGTTGAGAACTTATCTCTCTTTGCTCACTTTGATGCAAAAACATAGTGTAATATTATTTTAAATTGGAACATGATAAAGTAACCCTAAATTCCTTACATAAAATCTATAAATTAGATTTTACATGTCGAAAGAAAAAAAAATGTGCATAGTAACTTAAAATTTTTATTTTTTAATTTAGTAATTACACCATTATTATTTTCAGTGTTATATAAAATTAAATTATCAAATATTTTAAAATTAGGTAGTATAAGTTTATACATTTTTTTTTCAGAACACTTTTGTGCTTGGTAGTTTTCTTGCTTTCAAGTTTAGACATGTTTTGGAAATGTTTACCATTCAAGATTTTAATAAGAACCAGTTCCCAAAGAGTATAGACTACATTCCAGATACTGAAAATTCTATTGTACGATCATTAAAAGGATTATATGATTTAAATCCATGTGTGCTATTGTATAAAGTAATTATGAAAAATAATTAAAATGAATTTGTTTTAAAGTTAAGTAAACTGTTATCATTTAAACAGGGATGGATGAATCAATTTTTGTATGATTATCGTCCAGAAACGTATCGACTTTCACTTACAGTTTCTGTATATGTTAAACTAAAAGGATCAATACTTATTATGTCTTATCCTTATTATAAAGTACATAAAAGGTCTTTATATAATGAAACGAAACCAAAATTGTTATTTGTTAAAGAATGCATGTATAAGTTGTCTCGATGTAATATTACTCTATTGCCTCAAAACTTAGTAAATAAAAGGTATGTTATAAATATTTTTATATTAAAAACTAGAATAAATTATTATTTATTATTTTTTAATTTTCTAGAAAATGGAGTAAAAAATATCCTATTTGTATAGAACTAAATTCAGATTCATTAATCGGTGTTCGCCGTGCATCAAAATTTAAAAAATTTGTCCAAGAAAGAGATGAATGGCTATGTAAAGATTACGTTACACCATCATTACAAGCAGGTAAAAAATCTTTAATTTTTGTTTTTTAGTATTTTAGTCTGTGGATAAAAATTATCTTTCTTTACTATAGCTTTTCGACAACCAATATCATCATATAAATATTTTTTTAACTAATGGTTGTAATAATAATTAATCTGTATAAATTAATTATTAAAATTGTTTTATCAATATCTAGTTATACAACATTATTTGACTAACAATATTTATTATAGAGACTTATTATGAAGAAATGTTGGGATGTGGTACATTTGACTTGAAAGATGATTATGACTTAAAAGATGAAAGTTGCTATTTTGATAATAAATTAAATGATAGAAAAAAAACGAAATTAGATGTAAGTTTATAACCAATTAAAATTTTAAATTGATATTTATTAAAGTTTAAATAAAATATTTATTTTTTAAAGTAATTATTTTGTGAGTTAACTGTATATTTAAAATGTTTAAGTATTGATTGTGCATGAATTGCATAATTATATTAAATTTGTTTACATTGATTATTCATTAAATGTTTAATATCTACATTTTAGGTAACTCAAAAAGATCCTAAAAATGAACGCAAGATCAATGAACAAGAACCAAGTACATCTAAAATTGTTGAAAAGTTGATTGATTTTGATGAGGAAAACGAAGTTGATAGTGTATGGAAAACGGATTCTGATAAAATATATTTATTTGCTAGAAATGATCCAGAGAAGGAATTATGGTTTCACCGATTAAATTTTGCTGTTTCATTTGATATGCTGACTGTTGATGAACCAATCAATAAGAAAAAGATAAATTTTGAAGAACATGATAAATATCTCAAAGCTTATCTTGCTTACATGGCTAACCTTTATGAATTATCTACTTGTTCAGTATTGACTGATAACTTAAAAAAAAAAGAGGTTGGGTTTATTTACAGTTTATTTTATTATTTTATGAAAGTTAGTTGTGTGTGTGTAATATATATTATGTATAAGTCATGCATACCAATAAGCTATTGATATTACATTTTAATAAACAACTATTTCAGAATCCATGGCAACTTTTTCTATTATAAACAAATAAACTTTTATACACATATTTATTTTGTATACAAATCTCATATAGATTATCTCAGATTTCATTTTTTCTCACCTTTCATCTTTAGGTTATTTTAAGGAAAAAAGTAATAATCTTAAACCCCTCTCTTGATACAACATTTTTTTAAATTCTCAGTCTCTTGCCATTTCACCTATTATTTTATTAAATTTACTGACTTTTATTATATTATTTTATTTTGTTTAGTTTATTTGCGCTATTTTTTTTTTTCATATTATTTAATATTTTACTATTTTGCTCAAATATTTATTAATCAATTAATATGTGTAAACTAATTGCCATTATATGTTTTGAAGATTAGCTTTCCTACTATGTGAATTAGACTTTTATGATTTTCAATTTATGTGTTTAAATTATATTGAATTATTTTTAGATTTACTGTATTTTGATAATAAAAATAAATATGGTTTTAGAAAATAATGCCAGCTCAAATTAATGAGATTTCTGATGACCAACAATTTTTATGGTTAAATATGCTTTTGGGACGTATATGCTTTGATTGTTTACAAAATCCTAAAGTACTTGAAATGATTGTTGATAAATTTCAAAAGAAATTAAATGCTATAAGGGTAAATTATTTAAATTTAAATAAATGTTTAACATCATATTAATGTTTACTTTTTTAAACACAGTTACCAAAAGTAATGGATATGCTTGTGATTCGAAGTTTATGTTTTGGGAAAGGAGAGATTCCAATGATACGCCGAGTATCAAAACCCTGGGTTGATCATCGAGGAATATGGTTTGAACTTGAAATTGTATATCATGGAACATTTCAAGCATCAGTTGACACTAAACTTAACCTTATGAAATTAAAAAAAGAAGAAGCTCAACAGCAAAAAGAAGAAATGTTATTATTTAATTTTATTTTTATTTTTATTATTCAACATCCAAACAGGGAAATATTTTATTAAATAGTAACATATTGGGACTTAGCAGTTATGTACTGCAGTTGTTTTCAACCTGTGCCGCTGCGGCTCCCAGGGGCGCCGTGGTTTAGTATCAAGGGAGCCGCGTCTATAGTAAATATAGTAGAGTAATACAGTAAAGTTATTTGCATACATTTTTATATTATCATTATTCATAAGGGAGCCGCTAATTTGGATTTCAAAATCAAGAGTCCATGGACCCAATAGGTTGAAAACTACTGATATACAGGTTATCCTACAATGATTTATAAATTTAAGATAACGTTTGTTCTATTTAATATTTTTAATGTATTTTTTTCTAAAATAACTATTATTTCTCTGTGTTGCAGTTAATATATTATAATTTTCTTTTTTAGTTTGGGGAACTTAAAAAAAAAATTTTAATTTTACTATTAATTTTTTTAAAAAATTCCAAATAGCCATTTTATAAAATTTGAAACAATTATTTAGCACATGAATTTATTTTCCATGAATATATTATTATACGATAATAATAAATTGGTATTAATTAAATATTTTAATAGCTAATAAACCACAATAATTGACAATTGCAAAAAATGTTAGAAAATAAAAGATCATAACAAAAGTTTCAACCACCAAAAATAATCTAAACAAATTAAAATTAAATTTTAAATTTTAATTTAAATTCTCTAGGCTAAAAAAAATATTTAATATATTAACTGTAGTGCAGAAGTATACATTTTATTAAAAAAAATATCCAACAGAACAAAAGTTATTTTAAGTGTCAGATCATTGTGGGAAACTCTGTATATCTTAGTGAAATGTATATAAATATATCTCATTAAGATGTACCAAATCAAATTAAAAAGTATCAATTTTGTCAGAATTATTATTATTTTTACAATAAAATAAATAAGCAGTGTTAAAATCCTATTTCCCTTTCCTAATCTTAAAAGAAGAATCTCGTATTATATATTAACTTATATTATAATTGTAGAAGAAGAGCTGTGTATGATTCTAACCAAGAAGATAGTGGTGAAACATCAAATGATGAAGGTCAATCACGGGAGGATGTTAATTTTGCTGAAAGATTATTTGAACAACAGTCATTAAATGAACCTCCACCGCCTCAAGGAAGTCGCATTACTAGGTTTATGGAAAATTGCTCTTCTGGTTTTCTTGAATTGAAATTTGTGAGAAAAGTTTTTGAAAATGTTGCCAAGAAGGATTTGACTCTTGTAATCAATGTTAAGCAATTAGTTGGGACACTTATTGTCAATTTGCCTCCACCACCAACTAATCGTGTTTGGTAAACACCTATTATTTTAATAAGACAATTTGATACTATAGTATAATGTCATGTATAGATAGGTACCTGTACCTATCTTTTTACCCTTTTTATACCTTTTATTTTCGACTAGTAATGGATTAATTATTTGGTAAAATATATACTTTTATCTATTAAAATACCATTGTCGCACTATACCACAACAGATAGGTCAATGAGCTTTATTTATTTTTACTAAAATGCACTGTTCTTAAAATCTGTTATTTGGGGGCAATGAGATATAGTAAATTTGTATTATTAAAGTACATGTATGGTGTCACACATTGTTTATTTTCATAGTTTTTGTATCTACTCATTAGTAAACCATTTGTTTTAATGTCAAGGGTTTTTGCCTAACTGTAGGTATTTGTTAATATACATATCTATATCATAGAATGTATGTATGTATTTCTATGTATCATATTTGATACATAGAAACATAGATACATGTTTTTTTTATTAGTAATTGTACACATATTTCTTGTAACCTTATGCACTAATGCCTTATATTTCATTTTAATTTAGCTCTGTAAATTAATTTATTAGGAAATTTATAAATATAACTAAATAATATTATTTTCTTTCTTTAGGGTGGCTTTCAAAGGGAGTCCACAAATTAATTTTGAAGCTAAGCCAAAAGTAAATGATACTAATGTTCCACTTATGGATGTGCTTACTAAAGCTTTACATAACATATTAATCAAAGAATTTGAAGTATATTTATCAATTATAATTATTAAATTATAAAATATTATGTACTTATGCAATTTGTATATGTACTTTGTTTTTGCAGAAAGTGATTGTTCTACCAAATATGGTAGATTTTTCTATACCAATGATGAGTAGTGAATAAATTCTTTTATATTAGAGCTTCGCACAAAAAGGGTATAAATTAGAAAAAAAATAAAAATGTAATTTTAAGTTTTTATAAAAATGTGCAAATTAACATTTGTTTGTTACCATTCAATAATTAAAGTAAAAATTAAAAATACGACTGTGATAATGATTATTATTTAAGTATGTCTAATTGTTTCATTGTGTACTATGTTTTCTTTTAGTCCGTAACAACTTACATTATTTTAATCATAATATAATGTTTTACGGTAGTAGTATCTTAGTAGTTTATTTTTATTGTATGATTTAAAGTAGGTTGATTAGTAAATACATATTAAAAAAAATCCTAAATTTTAAAGGCTGCAATCTAATCGAATTACTTATTATTTTTTTGTATACTATATCTATTTTTAAATCTTGTATTTTATTATATATATATTTTTTTTATGTATATTTAATGAGGTTGTTAACAGATAATACTTATTTACACGTTATCATTTTCCAGTTTTGTATGTGTTTATTTTTTGGTGGATACATTCATTCATTCATTTTTGAACACTATAATATTTATATGCAATGTTTTTAAATTTATTAAATAATTAATTATTTATATTTTAAGTAAATCAAAAGTATTTTATAATATTAGTGAAATATAACTATTTATATAACTAATTATAACTATTCCATACATAAAAATAATCTTTATTAATAAATACAATTTTTTAATTATAATTTATTTATTCAAAAAATTATTTTATTCTATTGAGGAAATTTCATTTTTCAGTTTAATCATGTTATTAGTTGATTAATATTATGCTGTTCAATATGAATGCCAACAATTTGTTATGAATGATTATTAATATTATTATGAGACATGATTTTATAAAAAAAAAACTAATAAAGTATAAATATATATTTATTTCCATGGCTATAATTAACACATAGTACATGTACATTTGTTCAATAGTTATTACTTATTACTAACAAATATCATTATAAACACATTATAAAAATATAACAAGAATACGCACACATGTATATTCTATCTCACTCAGTTCTACTTGGGTGACAAGGGTAAACATTTGTTGAGCAGAACTTTGGTTTTATAGTAAAAGCACCAATAATAAAATTAAAAGTGGATATTTCAGAGAACAAGTAGGTTTTTTTTAAATAAAAGTACAGTCATTTGAAGATGCTAAAATATTCGTTATTTATTAATGAAGTATTGAGTTATATTTGAAATAATTGGGGGGGAAACACATATTTTTGACTTCTGAAATATTGTCACTCATTTAATTTTATAATAATAGATGCTCTTACTCTAAAACCAAAATAATTAGGCAAATTTTACTTAATCCATAAAAAAAAAACGTTTTTTTTTTTTTGTGTTGCCTATTAGATTACCTTGGACAGCATATATGGGTATGGCGTCCTTTTAGTATTGAATATAAACTATAATATTCAAAATTTGTATAAAATAAAATTTGATCACAAATTGTAACCTCTGGCAGATTGCAGTCTACTATTGTGTTTGAGCAGAAACATAAAACTCTTTTTGATTCCACCAACAGTCTTTTTTTTACCCAGTGCTATGAGACCCTGTTTGGCTTTAACCCTCCAACAGTAATACCTCCATAAAACAAAAATAGCCACCACAGACAATACAACTGTGATAATTGTTAATGGTAGAAATAAACCAGTGAAAAATCCATTAATTGCTAATGTTTCGTTAGATGTTTTTGTATTGATCACTAACGATTGTAACCATTCATATTCATTTTCATCTTTATGAGAAGGATCACTTTTTAATTTTTGTGTTTTAAAATTTTCACTATAAAAAATTATACTATTAATAAAATATAAATATAAAAGTAAAAAAAAACTAACCTATTTGATGATATATTTAAAACTATGGTCTTGGCCAAATTAATAGCAATGCATGAAACAATAGGTAATTGTATAATGCCTAAATCACTTTTGCCAATAACTTTAGAAAATCTAAACCAAAAATAACAAATTATTATTTAATACAATACAAATAATTATAAAATCAAACTTGTATAGTTGATTGGGTTCAAGACGTTTGGTTAAATTATTGGTCATATTCTTATTGATTTTTACATTATCATCGAGGAAAACTTGTGGTAATTTATCAGTAGATATATACTCCATAATAGCATCCAACATCCAATAACAATCTATAATTATAAATCATAATAATATTAATGATGATCATTTTTGTTTTTAATTGAACTAAAATACCTATTTCTAAATGATTATTGTCAAGACAATTTGAATCACCATACAAGACAATATGCCCAGAGGATTTATAAAATCCTAAAATTGGTACATTAACTTCTGGTCCATTTTTATCACCACCAACAATTTCTTCACCTATGATAATAATATAATTTAATTATAAAATAATAAATATTTACAATTATAGATTTCAATACACTAAAAATACAAATTTATTATTTACCTTGATTTTTTAATGTTTTAGCAACAACAGTTCCATCATTCGGAAATGATGTTATATGACTACCAGAAGAGTAATGTACTTTTCTATCCCCAATTTCAAATTCTCCATAATATACATTAGAGCCTAAAGATATATTATACGGCGCTAACAAATCATTTAAAGCTGGAATGTTTGATCCACCTGTTACTGGCGTCCACCATTGCTTCGTATTCTCATCAAAAAATTTGATCTGAAAATAAAAATATAAAATCAATAAAATATAATATAATCTATTTTTCTAAAAATTTCATTCAAATGTATAACAATTTATTATTTGAAATAGATCATTAAAATATTTTTAAAAAGTTCAAATTAAACAAAAAACAAACTAGCTTTAATAATAAAAATATTGTCTTGAGCTGAATTATTAATGAACAACATTACCAATAGTTTAAGATTTACAGTTTGATATTACTGTTTTGATCTTAACATTATAATACCTTTTCCATCACAGAAACATTATACCAATCTGCAAAAATGATAACTGATAAATTGTAATTTGTAATATCATTTTGAATTTTTTTAATTTCTTCGGTAAAGAATTCTTCTTCAGGATCTATAACTAATAACGCTCCGTAGTTGGTTGCAGTAAAACATGTATATGGTTCACCCAATACTTCTAAATAGTAACCAGAACTACGTAAATGTTGATATAATCCCTAAAATAATATTGAAATAGATTGCAACATTGTTCAAATAATACAAATATTTTAAATTATTATATATGATACTTGCCTTAAAATTAGTATGTATATGATCTGCATTCCAATCTAAAGGATCGTTTTTTACGTTCAAATTATCTCTAGGAAAATATCCTGGTGGATATCTTAAATTATGAAACTGATCCCAAAGAATTCGTCTCATTTTTGGAGGTGCTGGTATAATAGCAGCGCGTAAAGGCAAATCGACAGTATAGGTAATGCCTACAGATTCAACAGTAAGTGCAATGTGTCCAGCAACAGTGCCGCTCCAATCTTCAGGAGCAGCTTGCGACACAGACAATGCTACAGCCATCCAACCCGACCAAGGCCACAGTGTCTGAGAATAACGTATAGTTACATCTAAATAATTTCCATTATCAAATGCATATGGATGCCAAATAGGAACGTCAACAACTTTTCCAAACACTGCCAATCCATTGAGTACAGTGACATTTATAATAATCGGTATACCAGTATAGTATAGTGGTTGAGTGCAGTAGGGCCACATATATTGACATTCAGTTAAATCTACATAACTAACAAATAGATCTATGAATCATAAATAAATAGGAAAATTTTTTAAATTAAAAATCACAAATTATCGGTGTTACTAAATAAGAAAAAATAATTCTTAAATTTCAAAACATTTTCTGATAAATAATTATTAATTTTAAGAACAGAAAAATACTGAGATTAAAAAAATTTAAAAATATTAACATGCCCATTATTGAATTATAAAATATTATACACTTTTTTCTTTTATGTATATTATGATATAATTTTTATTTACTATTTCAGTGTATGTTGGAAATTGTAAAAAACTATTTTAATTATGCACTATATTAAACAAATGAAAACTTTTTACAATGTTTTTTAAAAAATTGTTTAATGAAAATAATTTGTTTAAATTAATTGACATAACTTAATTATAATAAAACTAAAAATTCAAATTTGAATAAAAAAAAGTTAAGATTATTTAACCTAATGAATTATGGTCTTTGATTATAAGCATTATAATGTGCTTATAACATTATAAGCACACTTGTATAAGAAACTTTGATAGAATATCTATTTGAATAAATGATTATTATTCTTTTTACAATTCAAATTATTAATTTTTATCACTTGGGTTTTCTATTATTTTTAATATTGTAAATAATTATCTAAAATAACACAAATAATAATTTTATACTAATTTCAATAAAGGTAAATGTGACAAACTTATATAATTATACTGTCTCCATCTATTTAATGGGTAATATTACTATATTACCCCTAACATATATTAAATTAAAAACCTTGACAAATTATAAAGAGAATATTTTTTTTTTGTATAATTTTGCTACATTGCTTGTTTTATATAATAGGTTTAGTGTAAAAATAATATAATGTCATTAATGACAAGGGGAAATCTTTAAATTTTAAACTCCAATGCAATGACATTATTTGTCATGTGGATGGATTAAATATGCATTTATAAATACAATTTATATTAGTTATTAATATATTATAATATTGTAAGGGTGCTCATTTTTTAAAACTTCAAACTGACATATTTATTTCATAAATATGATGTCATACAATTTTTAGCTTTTGCAGTTTGGCTAACATAAACTTAATTTGTTTTACTTTTTTATGTAGTAATTTTTTTAAATTTTTTTATTTTCATTTGGTATGCTTATCATATAAAATAATATATGAAAATATTGATAGTTCAGTATGCTTTCCATTTTTTTTATATTAAATTCAGATATTCTTTTTCTTTTTAAATGTATTAAAAATATATACATCTACCTAGGACTGAAACTGACTTGTGGTATGTAAGTAGACAAAACCTTATAAGCTTGTAAGAGGTCTAGTTTTCCATGTCCTTGTTCAAACATGTTGATACCTGGTAATCTTTGAGAGCTGGCTAAAAGAGCTTGTTTCATACTTGCAGGATTGACTACTTTACCTTGGGCCAAAATACCACTAAACATATTATTATAACGTTATTCATATTCTCTTTTTACATGGGTAAGTTTATTTTATTCTACCTAATTAACAGCGTAACAGCCCCAGCTACAACAGGTGAAGCCACACTAGTGCCAGAGAGAGTTCTACACCCTCCGCTCACACTTGATCCGTGCACATCCGTACCATAACTAACTATATCAGGTTTTAGGCGGCCATATCTAAAAAAAAAAAAGTGAAATTTGATTTGACTAATAGAATAACTCCTATGAAAACATACCCCTGTGGTAATTCCCAAGTAGTCATTCCTCGTGATGAAAATTTAGCTATATGATCATCAAAACTTATCCCACCCACTCCAATAACATCCATTTGATCAGCAGGATTATTTAAAGTACTTCAAAATAATAATAATTAACAAAAATCTTGGATAGCATTTATATGAATATAAAATAGATAATTAAAATCTCACCCATACAAAGGTCCATCATTACCAATGGCTGAGATCATAATAACCCCATTAGCAGTTAGTTCCCAAACCTTGTCTACAAATGGTTGGTCCATAAAATCGGGTCCACCAATACTCAAATTAAGAACATGGATTTTTCTCATAATAGCATAATTAAATGCGTCCAAAAACCATGATGTATATGAAACCTACATAAGGTTAGTATAATTCAACATATTATTGTTATCCCAATTAAATATTTAACTCTCACTTGATTATTAGTGAATACCCTGAAAATATGTAAATCAGAATCAGGGGCAAACCCAAAACATTCACGATTTGATGCAATAAGTCCCGCTACAAAAGTTCCATGCCCAAGACCATCTTCTAAATCTCCATCTCCTGTCCAATCAGTTCTTTCGGCTACTCTTTTGAAATGTGGATGAGACGTACTCAAACCCGTGTCAAAAATTGCTACCTTCACTCCCTTGCCTAAAGTTATATTGATGACATTCAATAATAAAGTAATAATTTGGCTCAGTAAAAGTTTTAGTTCACTACCTGTAATGCCTAAACGCCACAATACATCAGCTTTGAGGACTTTAGTAATTTGAAAAGGAACAGAACGGAGTATATGCCGAGTTTTATAACGTTTGTTTAATTTTTGCCATAATTTTACATCCTGAAAAAATAATGATTACATAAACAATAGTGAATCCAAACAAATGTCAACAAATTAAATTATACAATATTAACATTAAATATACGTAAATAATTACTTGGCCAAGGCTTCTACGTAAGAGTACTTTAATTTCAGTTTTATTAGAGTATTCATTTAAATATCTTTGTACTACTCGCTGCGGGGTTATTTTTTTAATTAGTGGATGGCCTGACAGTGCATTTAAGGCTTTTAAAGAATAAAATTCATCAACCTAAAAATTATATGTTATATAATATTTTAAAGAAGTGTAAATCATTTTTTTCAAAGGTAGGCAAAACATTTTCTTTCTTTTTTAAATGTACTTATAAATTTAGAGTGAATAATGAAATATTTTTATTTACAAATAAAACATCGAAGTCACTCGGATATTTGCTAGCGGCATTTTTTCTATCTAAAATTTTCCAATTTCCAACACCTAAATTTTTCAGAGCCGCCGATATATAATTGTATCGTGTTTCATTTAAATAATATCCGTTGAAAGTGACAATATATTCTAAAAAAACCAAAAAAAAATGTATACACAAAGGAGTAGGGTAAATTTACATAATAAACCTTAGGTAACCTAGGTACCTATTATTATTTAATATTAAACTATATAAGAATATAATATGATAGGTATCCAATTACAATAATATTGTTATTACTATTATTATG